GCCACAGGTACCATAGTTTGCAAAGTTACTCATGTTTTCGTTATTAATGATATGACCACTTCTCTAAAACCACATTCATTTGTGATTAGGCTTCTGAGATCTTTAAAGCCTTGAAATATTTCTAGTTAATCACTACACAGAGTGGGTGTAGGAGCGGATTAATGGCAATCTTTCACATGCACTATACTCGGAAGGTAAAAAGCATGTACCTCGACTTCCAATCGATTGAAAGCATTATACTGAACCGTCTGTCTATTATCTTCCAACAAAATGTCATCAGATCTCCCCGACCTTGGTTGCCCTGCTGGACACTCGCAAAGCCGTTTCTTTGGATTCAAAATGCGACACAATGCGAAAATCCGTTAAGCGCCAGCTCATCAAGAGTCTGAGGAATGACCGCGAAAAGTGGTGGGTAGGAAAGTGTAAGGAGATGGAGAAAGCTGCGGCTATTGGTAATAGTCACAATCCTTTCCGTCTAATTAGGAATACGGGCCCCAAGAAAGTAGGCGTAAGTGAGGTTATTAGGGATCTGATGGCACGCTGATTCACAATCAGCAGCGCCGTCTTGACCGTTGGGCTGAACATTTCAAGGCTCAGTTCAACTGGCCCCCATCGACATCTGATCTTTCACCCTCCACCTTGACTGGGAAAATACTGCCAGTTGGCATCAGTCCTCCATCTGAACTGGAGGTTACCCGAGAAATAAGCTACCTCAAAGGGTATAAGGCTTCCGGCCCCAATGGGCTCTCGCCATCGGTTTTCAAAGAGGTTCAGCCTTAGTTTTTAAGTTAACAAAACTACTGGGCTCAAAGTGGGAAAGAGAACAGATTCTAACTGAATCGTGTGAATCGGTGATCATACCGATTTACAATAAGGGCGACAGGTCCTCTTGTGAAAACTACAGAGGAATTAGTTTAACCAACATTACCTCTAAATTTTTCACCGGCATAATACTCCGTTTATTGTCTGCCACTTGTGAAGAGTGCACACGTGAGAACCAGGCTGGTTTTAGACGTGGTCGAGTTTGTATCGACCACATCTTTACTCTTCGTCAAATCCTAGAATACAGACACTCCTTTCGCAGACCCACCATTTCCGTCTTCCTTGACCTGAAAGCGACCTTCGACTCAGTCGACCGCTCTTAAACTCTTTTGCTGCTTATCCCTGAAGGGTGTGCCGGAGAACTTTATTTCAGTAAGAAAACCCCTCTACAATAATAGCCGAAGCCGAGTTTGACTTGAACTTTTTGACAAGAGTTCACTACAGAAAGTGGTGTTCGACAGGATTGCCCTCTCTTCCCATTTCTATCTAACTTTGTCATAGATTTGATTCTTGAAACAGTTCTATCCTCGTGCGAGGATAGCAGTATCGATCTAATCCCGGTTGGCAGACTATCTGATCTAGAGTATGTAGACGACATTGTGCTACTAAGTGTCGACTTGATTGGCACTTGCCAACTTCAGACATTTGTGGCGCCGTCGCGACATCCGGCTGTCTGTGAAGGGTTGAGTATATGCTGCAGCAGTTCGGCCAGTTCTGCTTTGTGGTGCAGAAACTTGGCCATTAAAGGAACGGTATACAAAATAGATTGTCGATGTTCGAACACCGCTGTCTACGCAGCGTTACACAAGTCTGGTGGGGTAACTCTACTTCTAACTTCAGCATTGCGGAGCGATATGGCTGGGTATCGCAAACAGTGGCGCTTATGCATCTACCAATCATTCTTGTAACGTCAGTCTACGTAAATGCAGTATCTTCCGCTTGAATGTGCTCTCAACATTCGAATCGTCATTCTGCTGTTTTATCCAAAATACGGCAACCAAAACCGGCGCACGAAAGTGCATGGTTAATGGGAATTAAAAAAACAGAACAGAACATCGGATTATTTTAGGTCTGGATTTCTGTTCCCGTTTGCGAGATCGGACAAAGCATTTCGTAGAAAATCCTCGATATCTATTGTCTTTCGCGAGTGTAATCAAGATGGGCTGCAGCTCGGGTATGGCACGTCTTGGTTATTTAAACACAGTGTACACCAGGGTAGAGTGACCCTGATAGTGCATGGTCGGAAGGACACATTTCTCACTACGTGAGTAGCACTGTGACTATAGCATCAAGTGATGGGTATGAGTAATCACTATGATCTTGACCTATAACCATTTATTTGATCGGTGCATATCAGCGCCGCTCATAACATTATGTTTTGATTCGAACTAACAATCATTCAGACTAGAGCTTCAGGCACAATCCTTGGTTCATTCAGTCGGGGATGGGCTAGACCCGAGGTTCACTTATATTCGAGCTCAGCAGTGGCGTATATACGCCCTCTCGTACCGGGTTAGAGCTCCGAACCCATCGCATGGAAGGCATGTGTGTTGGCAATATGCCAAACAGCTCAGACTAAGCTAATCATAATCACCAATTCATGTTGGTTTGGATGTCATCTTCAGAGGTTTATTTTGGCCAGACAACAACCAATGCAATCCGCGTCATTTTTTAGCATTGTCTACTTGAAGAGATTAAAGTTGAAAACAGTTTAAACGATTGTGTAATTTTTTTTAAAGGGTGCCCACAAAAAAATTATTTTCAGGAAATACAAAAGAGTTCATTGTACGAATAGTTATGAAAAACTGGAGCTTGTAGGCCAATCCAAAATAGGTGGTACAATTAAAGAGATTAAATTGGTAAACGACTGTTCGTGCGTTTTGTAGTAATTTTTTTGATGTGGGGATTATCCAGTAAGTTCCATCAGTCTCGCGCACATGATGCGATTCATCATCGCCAGACAGCCATTCCGGATAGCGATTGCTTTTGTATTGACGTTGTCTTTGTCCTGATTCGGTCATTTTCTGTCAACCTATGGTTAGTTTGGAGCCATATCTGAAAATATTAGTGATACATACATGTATATATGTTACAGTTTCAGTCAGTTTGTACAACCATTAACCATGCACTACAGTGCACCGGTTTTGGTTGCTATCTTTTGGCTGTCCATTTGGATGAACATTGATAGGAAGACAGGATAGATTGAAAGTAGGATGGAAGGGAAAATTGAAAAGTTCAGTGGACTAATGATTATATATATATATATATATATATATATAGTGCTCACTATAAAATCAGAAAATCGGCCCCAGTGTCGATTTTGCCGAAGTCTAACATCAAAAACGCAATAGCTAACACACAATAACCGCAATGCTTTTTCGAGTTTGGGTTATCTCGAATCGAACGCGCAACATACAAACGAATTTAAGATCCCCAAATTCACATTTGCGAAAACATGGATAAGAAGGACTTGACAGGTAGTCACCGGATACGCACACCTGGCGAGCCACAAACACCGCAAAACCAGTTGTGCGCTTCCGACAAAATACGCATACTTATCAACATATTGTAGATTAAATGAGTTTGATCTCAACAAACTCGATCCCTGGGCTGATTTTGAGTTTGTTTATGTCGAGAACATCCTCGGCGATTTTTGGTCACATCGAACGGTGAATGCAGTTGGGTTTGCTAATTTTGATCCCATTTCATCCACTCTTGAGCGCAAACTTTTTCCTTGGCTAACCGGCTTTTATTCTCCCAGCCTACTGGGTGGAGATATAACACTTGTTTGTATATAACAGGATAGTCTCTTTCTTCCGGGAAATTTCTTCGTTGATTGACATTTGGGTGTTTCAATGAATCCTCGACAATAAATCGAAACTCCCATTTCCGAACCAACCGAGAATATAAGCAGTGTGATGAATCGCAACACAAATTCAATACAGAATGTGTGTTGCTTTCATTCTAACGCCAAATGTCAAAAGGCCAATGTGGAGAAAGGTGATATACCTGAATTTGGAAATATGTGGACCACGATTATATTTGTTTTAAGGGTTTCGGGCACTGATCGGAGTCCATATGATGATCTCGGAGGCAAACTGACAATTAAACTGTTTTGTAAGGGGTGCGTGTATTGTCGTAATATGAACTTCGTATTTATATTGTGCGGCGCAAACTAATTTTCATTCCCTCAGACAGATGTGTTCCCTATTCACTTTACTTAGTTGCGGAGTTGGACGCGCTAAGATGAATAGCGCTATGCAACAGCGAGGGCCGGATTTGTATTAAAAAAAACCTGGCGTTCAAAGTTGATTATACCGGACTGAAAGTTCCAATGGTATTAACAAATTTTTTAGTAGAAAATCTTCAGCTGACGGAATTTTACAAATAATAACTTACTGCATTTCCCCTGCATGACAGAAATGAGCAGATAGAACGATAACAGCAAAAAAAGTCAGCTTTATTACACAGTGGTGATATTCTTTCACCAACACAGTGTGTTACAGAAAGAACGCAGCGAGTGCTTACAACAGCATCTCGATGCACACAGACACACATATTTGCGTGCGATTTTCTCCGAGATCAGATTCGGAGTTTTATTTTCCAGATCGCAGTGAACAGTCACCGGACGGTTTGTTTGCCTTCTTTAGGGATTTCACAGTGGAAATTCCCGTCTCCCAGTTGAATTGGTTACCAGTTATTTGGACAGATGACAGAGGTTTGGCGTTAGACAAAACGCATCCCCGGCAATGAAATTTGTTATTTGTCTGATCATCGACCACCGATGTGACCATGTGTACCTTTCGAGATTGTTCCATAATCATCTTCCCCTCGACCAGCAATACCGAATAATTGACGGTTATTCATAATGCATGAAACAATCAGTTTCTCTCGTAGACCGCACTTAATTAGTCGAAAATTGTCTACTACCGGATCCAACAGTGTGGCATACATACTTTCCACAGTAAAGTGCGGGGCTTTCATGGTCTTGGATAGTTCCATAGTAAAACGGGGAAGAAAAAAATCCACATAACAATCTGCACTGATGCGCACACGACCAGCTGCGAGTGAGGTGAATACCAGCGTGTGTATTCCACGGAAACTCACAAATGCCAATCCTTGCCTTGTGCACAAATTGCTCAGACCAGATTGGATGAGTAGCCACAAAGATTGGCGTTCAGTGATAAAACCCACATGTGTTCTTTGATTATGAAAGTAGCTAAACAGGATAGATTTGAGCGCACATCGAATCAATTCGTCCTGTCCGCTGTAAGGCAGAGCACGGTATCGGGATAATGACTCGTTTATAATATAATCTTCTTCATATTGTGATTGAGTTGTTCTCTTTGTGATTACGTCCATTTGTTCCTCGATAGGTTCCATTTCCGCTGTTTAGAGAGTATCTTTCTGCGCCGGGATAATGATTGGCTGTGTGAATCGATTGCATCCACCGTTAGAAGATTTGAAGCTACTGTGTTAGTCAGCTGACACCAACCATCCGTGTTATTCCGTCTGGTGAAGCACGTCTCACATGTGCACTGAAAACGGCAATTTGGGTTGTTTACATCATTATTATATTAGAATTTAACGCGAGCATAGACTACCACTGCAAAATAGTGGAAGCAATCTGTCAATATTGTGTATTTTTCTTATAGGTCACAACAATAACTCCGATCTTGACCCGAAAGAGTGAGAATAAGCGAGAAAACGGAACTCAAATAATATAACCAGAAGGAGTTATTGTCGAATAAGCAAACATATATGCAAAAGGCAAAAGCTTTCTTCACGCCTGGGGAATAGCGTTGAGGCCATTTTCATAGAAGTGGTACAATTAATAATTTGCAATCCATGAATTTTCGTGATAACTGTTCAGGGTAACCATCTTACATGTTTATTAGCTAGAGTGATTATGGTCTCCAGCTTGAAGGACATCAGCTAAACTCGAAGCCACTCCGGTGAAGACTTTAGGGACACAGTCATGCCTCTCCGTCTCTTGTTCTTTCAAAACCTCTGACAAGCTCATAATTTGTGAAATTTGCCTCCTCTTCAATCTTCCACCCAGGGGTGAAATTTAGATCCAGTGAGCGGACAAGTCAAGACAAGGATTATTCCTCGGTATAGTAGATTTTCTGGTTTCAACTGGAGGTGATGTGGCCTGGAGTAGTTAGCCTATATCATCCATCATTTCAGAAAACAGATGTTTGTTGATAAACGCGCAGTAATTGGACCTAGTAACACATCTAATCAGCTGAATTCAGCTCATTTTGTCTGTGTCATTTCATCGATGGAGATCAACGAGTTCCGATCTATGACACAGTCTTTCTAAAAACGGCGAGTCCACTACTGCGCAGTCTTTGCAACCACATTTAGGGTCCTTTACGAACATGTTTTGGGATTTCAAAATCGCAACATTCCTGTGCACTGCACCGAAATTGACTATAGTAGTTCGTGAATCTGATCATTGATATATTTGAAGGATTGGGTGATTTCACTTCTGTCTCTCGGAAATCCGATAGGTCGATTATGCGTGGTATAAACGCTGACTTGTTGCCGTCTAGCATATAAGATTGCCCTCTGCCACTCAGGTAACTAGTCGTGCATGGTGTCCAATGGCATATGTGAATAAACAACTACCCTTAATGAAAGTCAGGATATTCAATTGCATCTTCTCGTACCTTGGGAGTTGGAAGAACATGCCGAGGCGGTTGATGCTGATTAAGTGTGGTTATCGTCTTTTGACTGAAAATATGATCGAAACCGGCCGAAGTTTTGCAAACGTGCACCTTGACGACAGCTTGATTCCCACTTTTATTACTTCTCAAGATGGTGAAATATTGCGGCCGTGGCACTGCTGATCATATACAAAACGCATATAACAAGTGTTCACCTGAAAGTGTGTTGAATACATTTGTGTTCGTGTTGTGTACTAACTGTTGCTGAGACTGCTATCGCACCAACAACTTCCGAACCGAAGAAGAGAACATTAACAAAATGGCACAGGCCAGTATAGTAGAAAAAAGCGTATCTTCCTTTTTTACGGGTTAGCATTCTGTGGTGCTCCAGGCCTACATGGTAGCGCCTACCCTGGAGCGGAGCGTTACAGTTTCAGGACATTGGCGATCAACCAAGTTTGAATGTTGACGTCAATAGCACGTGCATAGCTTCTGAATACACGTCATTGGTGGATGGTGGCAGCCAATCCAAGACAATGCAGACAGAAGCAAGATTATGCAAGCAGTACTGCAATCCAATTGGTTGAAGCCCTGGTAGTCAATAATCTCCCTTTGTACATATTATTTAATCACCTTC